AAAAGGAAAAGAAATCAAATCCAAAAGGTTAATTAATAACATTTGACTACAAATCCCTTAGTACATATATGCTAACACTTTTTGTTAATTTAAATATCTTTTAAAATAAAAATTTGATAAAAGAGACAGATTATTTGGGAAAAATTATATGAGGAAAGTGTGTACTAAAATATTTAATTCACAATAATAAAAGAAAAACTACTAAATTTTTTTATTGTACTACTTTTCAAATTAAGCATTTATTATTTTTAAGCCTAATTTCCTTTTTTTTTTAGGATTTAGGAAGAATAATTTTATGTTTCAATATTTAAGATTTAACATGTAGAATTATAAATTTAAATTTCAGACTTTTAGAGTTTAGCATTTAGCTTTATAATTTTAGAGTTTTTTATTTTAAAATTTTAGAGTTAAATAATAAGAATTTAAAGGTTGAAGTTTTTAAAATTTATGATTTAAAGTTTTAGAATTTAAATTTGGACTGGGATTTGATATTTAATATTTTTTTTATCAATTTAAAACCATAATATTTTTAGGTGGCATTTTAATTTGCTTCTCTTTTTCAATTTTTTAAATTTTATATTCTTTAATTTTCTTAAAAATATTTACTTTTACGTTCCTTCTTAGTTTTAGATTTATATTTACTTATTAGTAAGTTAAATACTTCAACACTTTAGAATACATAATTAAAACACGCATTTCATATTATACCCTTATGCTAATTTGTGAGTTGTGTTATATTGATGGATATTATGTTGGATTTTTTAATAGAGTTTTTTTTTTCCTCTTAGAATAGTGTTTTTTCCTTATTTGTGTTATATCTAATATTCTAGATTTATTTTGGTATATTTTTAATTATTTTCAATAAGTTTTAAATTAGTTTCAATTTAGAGATGCACTCCTTGATATTTAAAAGTTTGGCAATAATATTCTAATTTAATATTTTAATTCAAAAAAGATTTACAATTATTTAAGAAACTTGACTTCTATACAAAATGACTTTTTGGCTTTAGAATATGAAAATCTCGCCTAAGGGTGTGTTTGGTTTGAAGGTTGGGGAGTGATGGATTTGTCATCTAATCAAATTGCAACATTTAAAAATATTATACTTTGATTGGTTCAAAATGCATCCCTTTTGCCAATGACTTAAGTAACTTAGTGTTAATCTTCTTTCAACAAAAGTAAGAGCTCTAGAGTTCAAATCACATAGCATGCAGGTACAATAGGTTAAGGGACGAGAGAGAGTTGCCAAAAAAAAAAACCTTATTTGTTCACTTTCATCAATTTCCTTCAAACTAAATATACTATTTAAAGGTGGCAATTTTGCTTTTCTTCCCATGGGGATCCCATTTAATGTCCCTTAAAAATACAATAATTTTTTTTATAAATTATTGTAAATTGAGTTCAACAAACTTCAACATATTTACTTAATTTATCATTCATTTTAATGGCAAAACCCAATATTCATTATGCAATTCAAGTCTAACTTAACTACTCAACACATTTGCTATTTAAAATTGTAAAGAAAAAATCATATGGTAAATTTTTATAAACTGTTGTAAAATGAGATGAGGGAAGATTTTTTTTCTCCAAAAAATCACCATGGGGATGAGGAGTGCTTTCTAATCATGTGGGGCCTTACTACTATTGCCAATATCTCCATACTAACAATTGAAATGTTCATACTCATTGAGACTTTGAACAAAATCATCTCTATTGTGAATACTGAGAATGTTATTAGTTGATTAAGAGTTAACACTAATGTCCTTTTTGGTTTGAGAAGAGAGAAAGAGAAACTTCTCTATTTAGATAATAAAAAGTGTCAGGGGAAATGAGCAGAAGTGAGGGGTTTTTCCTTTATTTATTATTGTTATTATTGTTATTGTTATTATTATTATTATTATTATTTTGCCTTTTAGTCTAACCAAACGTGAGAAGGGGACTTTGTTTCTCTTAAACCAAACCTAAGGTAAATGTATAGATGATTCTCCTATTTCAAAATTCCTTTGATTACTTTGTTTTCATTCATTATTTGGGAAATTTGGTAACAAAAGAATAACAAGCTTTATGAGGATTCTTATTTTCAAGGTTATAAATGACTTTCTCTCTAGTATTTAAAAAACTATTGAATTTTAGTTAATTTTTCCTATTCAGCCTAATTTATCTAATATGTAACTTGGTATGTTTTGTTGGCATAAACCTGCTCTATAATTTATTAAACATTAATACTGATGGACCTGCCTTTCTTAAACCTATTGGCAAGGGAGGGATCTTCAAAGATCATAATGATAATTAGATTATGGGGTTTGCCAAGAATATAGGTGTTATTAATAGAGTAAGTGTTAAGCTTTAAATTATAGGGAATAACCTTTAACTTTATTGTTGCTAAGGGATTTTCTAAAATTAACATTGAATCAGACTCTTTTTATGCTATTCGATTACTGTTTGCCAATGTTTTTAACGTCTTAAATTGCAAAGAACTCATAAGGAATTTTGTTCTAACTCAACAGTGTAACATGTCTATAGGGATAACCATATGTGTACTAACCAACTTCTTAAGGTGGGTACATCACTCTCTTTAACTTTTGTTGTTTTTAATAAATGTTCATATCGTGTGGTTACATCTTATTTTACTTATGTACTAGAGGTTCATTTCCTTGAACCACCCTAATGAACTTTCTTTTGTTGTAGTAATATAATTTTGTCATTTTTTCTCAAAAAGAAGAAAAAAAAGAGAGTAATAACTTCTTCTTTTTCAAGACATTAGTATTCCTCATTTTTATTTCAAATGTTTAATTAATAGTATATTTGGGTTGAAAATGAGGGAAAGATTTAATTATTGAAAATCAACCACTAGCTTAACAACTTTTTAGGTCAAAGTTTATAAGCCCTTTAAAGCTCAAGTTATTAGTAGTGATTAGTTTCCACAATTATATACTAAACTTACTCACAAGTCCCCATCAATCTGTGATTTGAAGTATTACACCTCTTTTTCTCTCAATCTAAATATATTATAAGTTGCTTCTTTTCTTTATTTTTCATATTATAGAATCCTTTTATTTGTATAAAAATGTAAATAATGCGCTAAATTAATGGGTGAAAATAAACATAAATACAAATAAAAAGTTTTTTTCGTAATTTTTTAGTAAAAAACATTAATATATATTAAAAAATTACATATATATATTTAATATTTATTTTTAATTTATATTTAATTTTTAAAAATAAAAAATATCTTATATTAAAAATAAAATTCATAAATACTAAAAATATGAATTATTTTATTATATGTCCCGTGCGAGAGCACTGGTACCATCTAGTTACTCCATGAAAAAATGAACATCCTCACAAAGAAAGAACAAAGAATACATTTGTTGCGCATCGAGCAACAATTTTCCTAGTGTTTTGTATTATCTGACACTGAACTTTTAGATGGGGGGCTCCCCTCCCCCATTCGAGTGTCTTCTTTGTGCTGATTCAGGGAGGCCCCTCCCCAATTCAAATGTCTTCTTTGTGCATTCTGCTGCAGTTCTGAGTCGCCAAAAAGGACAAGAAAAATTGGCCCACCTTTATTTTTACCGTTGTAATCATGGATCGTCAAATCCACTTGAATTGATCATATAATCATAAGCAAGAATGAAAATGAAAAAGGCGCACACTAAGAAAGTGGAGCCATGTGAATCAACAAACCTCTAGGAAGAATGTGCAACTTTAGTTGGGGTTGGACTTTTCTTGATACATGCATGGTGCATAAAAAGGTTGAACTATTGTAGTGTGTTTGATTGAGGGAATTGGAGGGTAA